ACACACGACACACACACACACACACACACACACACACACACACACACACACACACACACACACACACACACACACACGACACACACACACACACACACACACACACACACACACACACACACACACACACACACACACACACACACACACACACACACACACACACACACACACACACACACACACACACTGGGCGCACATACAGACCGTCGCCGTTACATACACGCAGTGCCGTATATGGCATATAGCAACATGGGCTACCTTGGACATATTTAGCATAGACTTTAGTCCTAAGTAGGAGGTTTGAGTACGACGCTTTTTGAGTAGAATTACTGCAGCATTCTGCAAGGTCGAGAGCACGCACTGTGCACATTCTTTGGGTTACTTTTGAGGCAGGAAAGCGTCACAAACACGTTCTGAGATAGGCTCGGTTTTCATGTCTTCGAAAAATAATCGAAAAGTACATATTGAAGAAGCTTTGATTAACAAATTATATGCTGTGCATCACAGTGACAATTTAGATCGCGGTATTGTGGCCACCAATTGCAATATAGGGAATAATTCGCTAGCCTGCTATAAATACCAACCAATGAAAATTGTTTAGGTACGCGCATTGTGTGACGTCAGCGCGACTGAAATGTTATTCGTGGATGTCGCAGTTATAAACGGCTGCGTTGCTACTACGTCTGCCACTCCCACCGCTGAGTTTTCGTCAGTTTATATATAACCAGGCCCCCGTGACTCCTGTCGCAGCGCTGCCTTGGCGTATCGTGAAGATATCTGATCGATTCAGATCATTATTTCTTGTGCTTTGTCTATCTCGACTCGTTGCAAGGTGCAAAAATGAGAGAAATCGTGCACATTCAAGCCGGACAGTGTGGCAACCAGATTGGAGCCAAGGTAGGTTGTTGCAACCTCTTCATTAGTTATTGCATGCCCGTAGCCAGCTTTATATTGGGGGGGGGGTCTCCCCCCTTCCGCACGATGAAGATTTTGCAATTATTACACTAAAATGGAGCGATCTGGTGCATACCTGAGGTAAAATTCTTGCAAATTTTCAAATGAAAAAAACACCTATTCAGTGAAAATGTCTTCGACTATATGGTAAAGTAATTTGCATAAATATGAATAATAGGAATAAAGAATGTAAATGAATTGCTAAGGAGCAAGTAGGCCTACATGAAACACTTCCAGAAAATAACTGCCATCTTCATGCACAGTGTCACTTTTTTGTTGTTGGGGGGTGTGGGGGTGTGGCACAATGATAAAAAAATCGTTGGTAGGGCTAACGAGGGTGCGAAGCCACGATCAGACACGGCGAATTTATTGGTGGGGATATATACCTTCATACCATGATAAAAAAAGCATGCTTAATTTTCATTTGGAGGTTCAGAAGCCCCCCCCCCAAATCTCATCTCTATGCCTCAGGGGGAGGGGGATAAAAGCCTTTGTTTAGACAACTTTCTGCAAATTAAGAAAGACACATCAACACTTAAAATCAATCAAATCACAACATTCATTATTATTCTGTAAAGAAATGTAACCAAGTGAAGTATAGGCATACTCTGGATACTATTACTACTCTAGGCAAAAGTAGGAAAGCAAAAATCACCTGGGTAAGAATGAAGTGCATGAAAGGAGGACTGGATTATCCAATACCTACGGAATTACTTACATTATCTTCCAACTGATTTCACCACAGCATGAGAAGTGGTATATCAACCCCTTTTTTTCTTTTTTTTGCTCGGGTGGGGGAGTCGGGGGGGGCGGTTCGTGCGAACCCCCCCGAACCCCCTGGCTACGGGCCTGGTTATTGTACGCCTATTTTTAGTCAGTTATTATCAGGAGTGAATAATAATATATTATAATAATTAATCTATTATTATTCACTTCTGTTATTATTATATAGGCCCCCTATCGTGGCGAGAAACCACACACACGCACGCACGCATGCAGGCACGCACGCACACACGCACGCACGCACGCACCACGCACGCACGCACGCACGCACGCACGCACGCACGCGCGCGCACACGCACACGCGCACGCGCACGCGCACACACACACACACACACACACACACACACACACACACATATATTATATATATATATATATATATATATTATATCATATCAGTCCCAATCTCCCTCTACTAACTATGATCAGTCGTAGTCGGTTTCTGGCCATGCTGCCGCCACTAGCGCCATGACGTCCAGACAATAACGTTCAGGCAACACGGCAATATAGCAATCCATAGATATAGGGAGAGAAACAAAGACATATTAACGCATAGCAGGCACGTGGATACATCTGCAAATAAGTTCATTAAATCAGCGTGTTTATACGCTCTACCTATGCGCGTAAATATATGATTGCGTGCGTGCATGCGTGCGTGCGTGCGTGCGTGTGTGTGTAATATATATTACTGTCGCATCCTTCGATCGTAGCTCGAAAATGTAGATGCTTATTAATTTACTAGTATATGATAAGAGAAAGATCGCGAATGATACGTACATGGTATATATGCGAATAGTTTCATGGCTGGAGAGCGAGAGGTTGTTAGATAAAATCTGCATATTATAAATGTAGAAAAAAAGTAAAATTACTGCGTCAGCGTTCGATCGCTATCGTCGGTGTCAGTGAAATACTGTACAGTGTTGCAGAATAGTGCCGCATCTCTGCGGAATGTTGCGCGCGCGAGCAACTGATCACACCTGAACTCTTATATGTATGTGTGCGTGCGTGCGTGCATGCGTACGTGAGTGTGTACGCGCGTACGCACGTCCTCTTTATCTCTCTTTCACCTTCTCGCTCTCTCTCCTCCCCCCCTCCTCCGTCTCGTCTCCTCCCTCTCTCTCTCTCTCTCTCTCTCTCTCGTCTTCGTCGTGTCGTTCGGTTGTGTGTGTGT